GATTTACGATGAGCTGTGAGTCACCATAAGCCTCGAGATGTCGAATATTAAGCTCTTCAGTAAATTACATTCCTAATAGCAGAGCATTATACTTAGCTACATTGTTGGTACAGGGCTCGATCAGGGAAAATCCTCTTGGGATCACGTGACCGTGTGGAGAGATGAACACTAATCCTACTCCCGCAGTAATTGCTCTATGAGGATTTGCTCTGGATGCACCGTCAAAGAATAACTTCCACACTTGTATAACTTCTTGGGTGACGCAAGTTTCAGCAACTTCGTCGGGCAATTCTTCATACAACTTAGATGTCCCTGGCACCGGGTGATCAGCTAAGAAGTCTGTTAACACTTGACCCTTGACTGCTTTTTGGGGCATAAATTGCATTGTTTGGTGAAAATAAAAGAAATGAAAGAAAATTTGACTTGTATTCCTTTAATATCAGTTACAATTGGATTTCCTAATTATAAAAGAGAGGAGAATCGACAGAGATCCTCCCCTTTGTTTAATTCTGGGTTTTTTACGGTGGTGATGGAGTGTCTCCCTCGAATGCTCGCGTCGAGTTTTCTCTCCGTTGACGATCCGAACGTCTTGATTCACTGGAACGGTATCCACTCCTCATGATTTGACGCTGTGGAGAACTTACAAAGCAAGTCTTAGAACTCTCGATGAGTTGATTGATCTTAACCGCAATTGGTTAGACAAGCCAAAGATCTCTTCTTTGCTGCCAAGGAGAAGGATCCAAAAGCCAGCCCCAAACTAAGCTGATTTCTTAGTTATTTATAAGGGATTATGGGGTGTAACCGCCCCCTTAATTCGCTTTTAAGTGGGGCTAATAGGATGTAACCGCCCCTTAAATCACTCCTGAGTGGAGTTGTGATCCCCTCAGATCGTGGGAAACGGTTTTGAAACCATTCAACTCGTGTTTGAATGAGTCAAACGCAAAAATCCACATTCTGGTGTGAATTCTGCATTCAAACCCAGTGTCTGGAAGCTTGAACGTAGTATCAGAAAGCTCGAACGCAGCGGCTAGAAACTTATTTGGTTGTTTGTTGGAAGCTGTGTTTGGCAGCGGATGAAAGCTGCGTTGGCAGCTTTCGGAGGCTGCGTTTGTGGCCGAACATGAGCTGCGTTGGTAGTTGGATCTGAACTGTGTTTGTAGCGTTTAGAGCTGAATTTGAGCTACGTTTGTAGCCAAGTTTAACATGCGTCCGCGATAGAATTGGTGCTGTGTCTTGATATTGGTACGCGGGGAGGACTTCCACGTCTTTGTTTGAAGAGACCGTCGATTTGTAATCTCTTTCTGTCAGAGTGTTGCAAAGATCGTTATTTTGTAATCTTTGCTTTAGCTCTTTGATATGTGAGAGTCGTCAAATTATAACTCCTGATGCTGATTGTGAAGGGTGTTGATTAGAACTTCCATCAGTTATCGTAAAGGTCGTCAGATTGTAACCTTCAGCGATCTACGTGAAAGTCTTCCAATTGTAACCTTCTGAAAGTGTCAGGTTGTAACTTCCATCATCGGTGTTTGATAGAGAATCAGCTATCTATTGTGATTTTTAGACAGCCTACATGCATGTCATATTGCGACAAGAGGATGGCCCACTTGGCGAGCCGACAATTTAGAGATGATGGTTTCGTCATCAGAACTCTTAAGAGATTTACCTTAGAAATGACATGAATTGTTTGTCCAACTAGGTAATGCCGTATCTTTTAAACTACGAATACTAAAATGAGACATTCTTTTTCGACCGGGTTATACTGATGCTCGGCTCCCATCATAGTCCTGCTTAAGTAGTAGATGGCTTGCTCTTGCCCTTGATCATCGTTCTGGGCTAATAAAGCTCCTAGAGAATGATCCATAGCCCTTACATATAACAGGAATGGTTTTCCTTATATAGGGGCCACGAGTACTGGTGGTTGGGTGAGATATCTCTTAATCTCTTCGAATGCTTTTTGGCATTCTTCATCCCAAACAAAGAACACACCTTTCTTCATAAGCTTAGAGAAAGGTTGGTAACGCCTCGAAAGATTAGATATGAATCCTCGAATGTAAGCCAGTCTTCCTTGTAGACCTCTGAGTTCTTTGAGATTCTTCGACGGCGGCATGTCTTGGATGACGCGTACTTTCTCTGGGTCAAGAGAAATTCCCTTGGATGTAACGATAAATCCCAGGAATTTTCCACTTGACACTCCAATGAACGATTTCGTTGGGTTCATCTTCAGCTGATGTGCTCGCATGATGTCGAACATTATTTTTAGGTCTGTAAGATGATCGCCTTTGTGTTGGCTTTTTATTGCTATATCGTCAACGTAGCATTCTATCTTCTTACACAGATGTTCGTGGAAGATGACGTTCATTACACGTTGATAAGTTGCACCTGTGTTTTTTAGGCCGAAGGGCATCACTGTGTAGCAATACACACCCAGTGGAGTTCTGGACGCAGTATGCTTTTCGTCTTTAGGATACATCTTGATTTGATTGTACCTAGAAAATCCATCCATGAAAGACATCCTTTCATATCTGCAAGTATTATTAATCATGACATCAGTGATGGGAAGAGGAAATTCGTCTTTTGGACAAGCTGCGTTAAGATTACGAAAGTCGATGCATATACGGACCTTATCATTTTTCTTGGGCACTGGAACAATGTTGGCCACCCAGTCCGGGTGTTGTTCCTCTCTGATAAAACCTAAGTCTATAAGCTTTTTAACTTCAGACTCAATTGCTTCCATGATCTCTAGACGAAGCCGGCGTTGCTGTTGTTTAACGGGTTTGGCATCCGGATCGATGTTGAGACGATGCATGGCCACTTTTGGGTCAATGCCAGGAATATCTTCATAATTCCAAGCAAAGACATCTATATACTCTCGGACGAGAGATATAAGATCCTCTTTCTCGGATGATGATAAACTTTCGCTTATAAAAATTGGTTTAGGGTAAGATTCGTCTCCCATGTTGACCTGGATTACGTTATCTTCAGTAGGTGGTTCGCATTATTCAAAACGCATATCCCACAATATGTTAAGGCATTTAATCCACGTGTCATTGGTTGATTCGATCAATTCTTCGTCACCCCCTGCGTCCGCATCTGGATGACTAGTTGAAACCATGTTCACGGTCAAGCTTTTGAAGAAAGGTCTGACACTGATGTCGGATTCCCATGAGGATGTTCCAGATGAATGGTCTTGACGCAGATAATTACTGATTTCATTTTCTGAAACAGGGGGAGTTGTGACATAGCCCAAGACTCTTCCAGATTTTTGATAATAATCCGGAAGTTTTTCTTCAAGGGTTAGAGACATTCAAATTGGTGTTCGTCTTCCTTTCCCGAAGTTCAAACCCTATTTTTTGTTAAAGTTATACCACATTCATTTCATTAATCGGACGGAATTAGGTTCGTGGTAATGGAATTGAGGAACTCCATCATCTTCTTACGAACTTCCCCATTTGAGCAGTTCGGGTTTCACTTTACCGAAATGGATGGGACTCTGCCTTCTCCTTTTGGACGAGACTTTGAGGAAAGCCTTTTGTGCATCTTCTGCTTCTTCATCTAAAATGAAGGATGACTTGATTGGCAATGTGAGGGATGTCTCTGCACACAATGTGTGTCATGGGTTAGTACCTGCATTAAAATAATTCTCTATTCGTTCATTTTTAGAAGACACGTCAGACAAGTATGCCAAAATAAAATCTTCATTAATGGTCCACTTTCCCTCGCTCGGTACATTATTATTATTCTCATCCTGACCAATTACATCAATGCTTAACTCCCATGGACAGTCTTCTTCAGGATCCGGCTCAATATCTGCTTCATTGCCACTATCAACGTCTTCTTTCTCCTGAGATTCTAAGTAGAAGACGGAATCTGTATGAAAAATTTTCACCCCATGGAAAGGGTACTTTTCTGCAATCAGGGTTCGAACTTTTCCCTCGTCATTGACATACTTCATGACCTGATGTAGGGTAGATGGGACAATGCGGTTTGCGTGAATCCATGGTCGTCCCAATAATAGATTGTAAGACGTGTCTGCGTCTATGATATAACAGGTCACTTCAGATTTGAGATCTCTGATCTGACACCTGAGCTTGATCTTTCCCAGGGGCCACGTGTTGTTGGCGTTAAAACCGAAGATGGTAGTCTGGGTGGTGTTCAACTGGTACATAGGAATCCCTAAGACCTGCATGACCCTATAGGGCATGATGTTGAGCGCTAAACCCTGATCAACTTGAACACGGCTGATTTCCGATGACCTAATGTACCCTGTATAGTACAAGGGTCTGTCATGTTTGTGTTATACTTGCATGTCTTCCTAGGTAAATGATATGCAGGATAAACTTCTCGCAGCTTGCAGACATTGTAGGCAGGGTTGATCTTCAGAAGCTTCAGGGGTCGGAGCGATTTGTGTAATAAAACTCTCTGTGTTCCTTAATGCTTCAATCAGAGCTTCCTTGGTGGTTTTAGACAACCTTAGGAGCTCAAATAGAGTAATCCTGATCAGTATGTTGGCCAGTTGTGCTATGACATTGAATTGGAAGGGAGCACTCGACTCCCCGAGTTCCTGGCGAAGATTCTTATTGAACCGGATCTCTTTTTGCTTTCCCTTATCAACTGGCTTCTTTGGTATAGAACCCCCAATGTCTTGGAGTGGTTCTTTGGCTTCTTGAGCGTTCTGATCGTAGTCCCTCAAGTAAGCTTTTCCTGATCGAGTACCAGGGTTGCCTTTTGGGTACGCCGCCAGGGCAATCCTTTCTTCCTCTGAGTCGGTAAGAGGTTTGAGATGATCATCATCCTCATTAATAGAGGGGCTAATCACGTTGGATGACTTAGTCTTTCCTCCCTTCCTTTTGGACGTGGTTTTCTCCCACTGCCTATCTTCAACTAGGTCAGGGTGTACCCACATGATCTCCCCTTTTGGGGTAGTAAGGGGTACCAACCCTCTGTCTTTCTGACTATGTAAGTCAGTGTTTTTCATATGCATCTCCCCCTTGTGAATGGGAATGACGATGTTCACAGTTGCTACTGGCAGGAAGTCACTAAATTGGACCGCTATTAAGTTGGTGGACACGGTCTTCTACTCGGGATTCAGGGTGAGCACATTTGCATTTACCAGGTTTTGTAAAATATCTTTGAATACATAACATTTTCTGGTAGGGTGGCCTAGGAACCTATGATAACGAAAGTAATTAGGATCATCGACTTTTCCTGCCTCATCTGGTTTCCTGATTTCGGAAAGCGGCAGCTTGTTGTTCTTCCGAAGTAATTGGAACATGGTGTCCACATGCTCTTCCTTGAACGAATATTGCTTGGGTTCCCTTTGCGGGTTCGGTGTCTTGATCTGTTTAGCCAGTGATGCCCGTGTATTGGTGTTGGCAGCCAAAGTCTCTTTCCCCTTTGATCAAGGAGCATTATGTTGGTTGCGCTGTTGCTACGGCTTTGGTTGGGGAATTTCTTCAGCCTTGACACGAGCAACTATTTCTTTAGCTTATTCTCCCTGCGAAACCAGTTGTCTCCAGGAGCGACATTCCGCCACCCTCATCTGAGTGAGGAGTTAGGTCTGCAAATTGTGCCTGCAAGTTTCAACCAAAGTTGATTGAGTCATACCTGACGGGCATCACAGTGCCATGCTGCAGAATCTCTCAACATACGCCTTGATAGACTCTCCTTTCCTTTGCTTAGTGGCAAGAAGAGTCAGGACTAAAACTTCCGTGTCGTCCTCAAAGAACCTGGCTAAGAAAAGCCTTTCCAGGTCTACCCATTTCTAGATGGATCCGGCAGGCAGTTTTATAAACCACTCAAAAACGACACCCTTGAGGGTACCGATGAATAGTCGGTCAGGATGGCGTCGTTCACCACCACATCTCTAGTGTGAGACTTGAAGTAATAAATGTGCTGATTGGGTGACCCTATCACATCGAAAGGTTGCAGGGTTGGAGCTTTAAACTTTGGTGGATAGGGTGCTGTGTCCCATTCAGCAGGGTAAGGTCGTACTACCCCTTCTTCGCGCAGCTCGCTTCTGTTGGCGATTGCGTTGAGGCGAGCTTCTAGTTCGTCCACTTTAGTGGACTAAGGGTGCACTTCTCTTTCCATCTCCTTCTTATTTTCAGAAGAAGATTCTACGTTCTGAGCCTCACGATCTGAATGCTCAGGTGCTTTTTGTTTTCCCGTGGACATTGTCCTTCAGGAAGATTCCGGTCTTTGGCCCTTTTCAGCAAGGAGCTGAGCCAACATATTCTTCATTTGAAGAAGGGTCTCCTGTTACGCCCGGAGCATGACGTGATGGTCGTCAACTCTCTTGGCTAAGTCTTCAGGGTTTCCAGTCATGTAAACAGAATCCCCTCGAGTCACGACCGAGCTTGAAGATTAAGATTCAGTGATTGCCCAATGTTCCTCATCGGAACTGATCCCTTTAGCTAACCTTTGATAGTCAACCGAGCGGATAGCTCCTGTGCGAGTCTGGGTGTGCTGGTATACTCCTTCAAATTCGTCACAAATTTCCCGAACGGTCAGGGAATGACTTTTCTGCGTCTCGTCAGAACTAGGATGTGAGGCTTTCCCTTTGCCAATCATGTTGATAGTGCTTGAGGATATTCAGCTTCAGACAATTTCTTCTTCTGATGACGTCGTCGCTTAGTAGGTCTGGCAACGTTGGTCAGTCTGTCGAACATTGACTTACGGGGCTCAGGTGTACAGCAGTGAGATTCTGAAAGAACTGCAGATATAAGCCACTCACATTGGCATTAATGAGCTGCTTGCTGAGTTGGTCTTCCTCTTGATAAAAATTCCCGCAAGTCGGACACTTGAGAGGGATCTCTTTCCGAGCATGAGGAAGGAGATTGCACCCCCTGTTCTTGAGAGGGCAAGACTGATTCTTGTCGAACATGGATTTTAAATCCATGTTGACCTTTTTGAACTTGACGGACCGCTTGAGGGTCGCGTTCTTGAAAAGAAATATGAGGGTCGCGTTTAGAATTGTAAACATTAGGCCGCGGCCTATGTTTAAATGATGAAACAGACCCCTGAGGGTCATGTTTTGGTTGAATGCACCCCTGAGGGTCGCGTTTGGTTGGTGAAACAGACTCTTGAGGGTCATGTTTCGTTTGAATGCGCACGTGGGGTATGCATTTATCTTCGGCAGCGTCTTTCTAAGGGTTACGTTTTGAAGGAACAACGTGCCATTGAGGGTCACATTTCAGCTGTATCAGTCGAGGCTCGTAGTTGGGCTCATAGCCTCGACGTTTGCGTTCCGTGGTGGAAACACTATGCTCGTCTCTTCTATAGGCCGTTTATGGCCCGTAGCACGTCGTGTTGACGCGGATGTGGGATATTCAACTCGTTATACGAGTTCAACAGAGGCTAAGCCCGCTCTTGAAGTAGAGGGGCTGTTCAACGAATTTTGGCCAAAGGAGATGACTTCTTTTGGTGTTTCAGCAATAGATTTGATCTCCTTGGAGATCATGCAGACATCACGCCTAGCCTTAGGGCTAAGCGATCCAGAGGAGAGGGCTTCCTCGTATTTTGCTTGGTCAAACTCCATGACGAGAGTTTCAACAGTCATTCCCATGAGGTGGACGTCGGATTACGCCACCACTTCTTCATCAGAAAAGCTAGTCCCCAGCGAAGTCGCCATCATTTGTACGTGGAAAAATTTGTAATGAAAAGAATGAAAGAAAATAGACTTGTATTTCTTCGATATCGATTACAATTCGATTACAAAAGAAAGAAGAACGAATTTGATCCTCCTCTTTGTTTAAAACTGGGTTCTTCTTGGTAGTGATGAAGTGCCTCCTTCGATTGCTTGCGTCGAATTTGCTCTCCGTTAACGATCAGATCGTCTTTTATCTCGTGAGAATAATGAAATTATGTGGTAAGTTTGAAGAATAACTCTTAACGAGTTTTAGAACTCAGAACGAGTTAGAACTCTGTGAAAAGAGTTGTTAGAACCAAAAATTCAATTAATGGCCAAGCAGATTTTCTGTTGCTGAAGGATTCTCCCCAGATTTGATCTTCTGAATCTGAATCAAATCCTTTATCTCCAAAGAATTCTCCTCTGTTATCTCCAGAGAAAATCTCAGCTCCCAACCTCCTCGTGCAGTTTAGATGCCAAAAATCTCACCCCGACTCAGTTGAGTTTGTTGAGGTTTTATAGGTAGATAAGAGGTTGTAACTGCCCTCTAAATCTGCTCCTAAGTGGGCGTGATTTCCTCAGATCGTGGGGAAACAATTCTGAAACCATTCGACTCATATTTGAATGAGTCAAATGCCCAATTCGGCGTTCAATGCCACAACTTCGCGTCTTAGAATTGAGACGCGGAGTTGGGTGTTGACTGAACATTAAAAACGCGAGGGCCGCTCGCGTTTCGCCTGTTGTAGCTTAGAAACGCGGGGGTCGCTTGCATTTCAAGAATCATAACGCGAGGATGAATTCCGCGTTTTAGAAGAGGTTGGTTGACTTGTAACCTCTTCTGTAGAGCATTGCAAGGACAATTGTTCAGTAATCCTTGCTTTAACTGTCGTGGGGTGTGAAAGTCATCAGATTGTAACTCTCACTGTTGATTGTGAAGATCACCGAATAGAGTTTTCATTAGCTGTCGGAAAAAAACGCGAGGGCCGCTCGCGTTTCGCCTGTTGTAGCTTAGAAACGCGGGGGTCGCTTGCATTTCAAGAATCATAACGCGAGGATGAATTCCGCGTTTTAGAAGAGGTTGGTTGACTTGTAACCTCTTCTGTAGAGCATTGCAAGGACAATTGTTCAGTAATCCTTGCTTTAACTGTCGTGGGGTGTGAAAGTCATCAGATTGTAACTCTCACTGTTGATTGTGAAGATCACCGAATAGAGTTTTCATTAGCTGTCGGAAGTGTCATCGAATTGTAACTCTTCTCGATCTATGTGAAAAGTCCTATATTTGCAGCTTTCATTTGTTGACATGAATGTCATCTGATTGTAACTTTCATCATTGAAGCTTGATGGAGATCAGCTATCTATTGTGATTTTTAGACAGCCTACACCGGCCCAAGGGGTAGGCGGGGTATGCCATTGCCTAGGGTCCCCCCAAAATTAGGGCCCCTATCCTCTTCCTCACTTCCTCCTGCCGTTCTTATTGACTTGTGTTTTTTTATCAAAGTTATTGACTTGTGTATTAAACTTCACAAAATGTCAAAAAGGTTCTTATTGATTTGACTTGTGTATGTATTTAAACTTCTCTTCAGTTGCAGTCTGCAGACCCGACCCAAGATAATTCTAATAGCATAAAGGTTGTATAAATTCACAAAATGTCAAAACCCTACCATCCTCTTCCTCACTTCCTCCTTCCGCTCTCCCTCAGACCCTCTCACATAAAAAACGGTAGGTCTCTCTCTCTGACCTTAAATGATGGATTTTGATACGATTTAATCAATTCTTAAATGTTTTTGGGTAAGGAAAAGAGGGATTTTGTTAGAAGTGAGGACTGAGGAGAGATTAATGCGATTTTGGTAATTTTGTTTTGTTCTTTTTATTTGTGGTTTCCGTTTCTTTGATGGGTTTTTTTGGAGAAAAGTGGTATCTTTATGGATTTTTACTCTGCAGCCCAAAACACGCCCGCATCCTATTTGATCTTTTGCCTAAGAGAGAATTTCACACATACAATCTCCTCTTAAAAGCCCTCATGGATATAAAAGTAAAAAAATACCAATCAGTGTTTTGGTTTTACTCTTCTCTGTTATCCCACAAATGGGTATCGCTGGATTAATGGATTATGTAACATTCAGCATTGTTATTAAGGCTTGTGTGACTTTGAAATTGGAAAGAGTAGGGAAGTTATGCATGCCCACGTTTTAGTTTGTGGGTCTGAGTCAGATTTGAGATTGGATATTGATTTGTTGCAGTTTTACTTGAAATGTGGATGCCTAGATTATGCCCACAACATGTTTGAGTTAATGTCGAAAAGGGATGATTTTGCTCGGGCTGCTATCATTTTTAGTTGATGGGTTTATAGTTAGTTTAAAAGCATTTATTACTCTAAAATCTCTTCTTTTTACTGAACTATTATCTGATTTATTTGCAGTACCATCTGGATGTGTGCAAGCGTGTTGATCTGAAATTTGTTTGAAGTGAAACTATTCAAATTTCAAGGTAATTTTGTAACTTTATAAATTATAATTTTTGTTGATCTTATGTATTTTAGTATTTGTATATAAATTTTTGTTGATCTGAAATTTGCATTGTTGATTGATCATATTTTTTCAGTGTTCATCATGCTTCCTAGAAAGTATAGTTCTGGATATGAAAAAAGAAAAAAGAAACAAAAATTATAAAATTTGGAAAAATCTCAAGCAGGAGCGCTGGATAAGTTTTTTTAGTAGTAGACATACAGAGCATGGTAACGAAGAACATAATAATGAAGAAAATCAAAATGAAGAACATAAAAATGATATGAATATTGAAGAACCTACTGAACACAATATGAATATTGAAGAACCTACAGAAGATGATAGAAACATTGAAGAACCTACTCAACTTAGGATTGAGAATATCAATGAAAACATGAATGTTGACGATCCAGCAAACTGGAGCAATATTGATCAAAAACTGAGAGATCTTTTAGTGGAAAGAGGACCCAAAAGAGTTGTTATTGCTTTTCCTAAAGATATTGAAGGCAGACATTTCTCTTCTACTCATTACACTCGACAATGGTTAAATGGAGATAAACATGATAGGAGATGGCTAATATATTCAACTTCTTTGAATGTGGTATTTTGCTTTTGTTGCAAATTATTTAGAAAAGATGGAAACAAGAATCAAATGGGTTCTTTGGTTAATGAAGGATTTAAAACTTGGAAGAATCTTAGTCATAGACTTCAAAGTCATGAAGGGAGTAGTGAGCACATAAGTTGCATGAGAAGTTGGATAGAATTGGAAATAAGATTGCGTAGTATTGAAACAATTGATAAAAGTGTGCAAGAAATATTAAACAAGGAGAGAGAACATTGGAGACAAGTATTATTAAGAATAGTTGTTGTTGTTGTAAAAACACTTGCTAAAAATAGTTTAGCATTTCACGGGGATAATGAGAAAATTTATCAAGAGAACAATGGAAATTTTTTAAGTTTAATTGAATTGATTGCTGAATTTGATCCGGTAATGAAAGAGCATATTCGACGTTATCAAAAAGGTGAATCTCATAAGCATTATCTCAGTCATAAAATTCAAAATGAACTGATAGGATTGTTAGCGGGAGAGATCAAACATACAATGATCAAAATAATCAAAGATGCAAAATATTTTTCTGTTATACTAGATTGTACTCCAGATATAAGCCATGAAGAACAAATGACTCTTATAATAAGATGTGTGGATGTTTCAGAAAGTCCAGTAAAGGTAGAAGAGTTCTTTCTAGAATTTCTTAAGGTCGACGACACGTCAGGACTGGGACTTTTCAGCAAACTTGAAGATGTATTGAAGATTCTAGAACTTGACATTTCTGATGTAAGAGGACAAGGGTATGACAATGGATCTAATATGAAAGGAAAAAATAAAGATGTGTAGAAAAGACTCCTTGCAGTAAATCCTAGAGCATTCTACACTCCATGTGGTTGCCATAGTCTTAACCTCGCACTTTGCGATATGGCAAACTCTTGTTCGAAAGTTATATCTTTTTTTGGAGTGACAACATTTATATACTTTATTTTCATCTTCTACTAAGCGGTGGGATATTTTTAAAGAACATGTTTCTGGTCTCACACTTAAGCCATTGTCATAAACACGGTGGGAAAGTCATGTTGAAAGTGTAAGAGCAGTAAGATTTCAAGCTACAAAAATAAGAGATGCTTTAATTCACTTGGAAAGTATCGATGGAGATCCAAAAATAAAGAGTGAAGCTGAGTCCTTAGCAATAAATGAAATGGAGAATTTTGAGTTCTTATTGGGTATGATTATTTGGCACAATTTATTATTTGCTGTTAATTCTGTTAGCAATTTTTTGCAAAAGGAAGACATGCAAATTGATATTGCTATAGATCAATTGAATGGACTTATATTATTTTCTGAAAAGTACAGAGAAAATGGATTTAAGGAGGCCATTACTGAAGCTAAAAATGTTGCATCTGAAATGGAAATTGAAGCTGTATTTCGTAAAAAAAACATATCATTCGCAGGAAGAGGCAATTTGATGAAAGTGCTACCGAAGAGACAATATTATCTCCTGAAGAATTATCATTCGCAGGAAGAGGCAATTTGATGAAAGTGCTACCGAAGAGACAATATTATCTCCTGAAGAATCATTTAGAGTTATGATGAAAGTGCTACCGAAGAGACAATATTATCTCCTGAAGAATCATTTAGAGTTAAATACTTTCTATACATAGTGGATCAAGCTATTTCTTCTCTTAAGAGTAGGTTTGAACAATTTTGACATTATGAAGAAGTCTTTGGGTTTTTATTTAATTTGAAGAAATTCAGCATTGTTGATGATGCTAGTTTGAAGGCTTATTGTGCGAAATTTGAAGAATCTTTAAAGCATGACAGTCATTTTGATATTAATGGCGAAGATTTATTTTTAGAGTTAAAACTTTTGAGAGAATACTTACCAAAAGAAACAAAGAAGCAATTGACGTGCTGAATTATTTGAAAAAATTAGATGGTACTTTTCCGAATGCTTGGATTGCTTACAGAATATTGTTGACCATACCTATTACTGTTGCCTCTGCAGAAAGAAGCTTTTCAAAGTTAAAATTGATCAAATCTTACCTTCGATCAACTATGTCACAGGAAAGATTGAATGGCTTAGCTATATTGTCAATTGAGAAAAATAAAGTGGAGAAGCTTGATTATACAAGTTTAATTAATGATTTTGCATCTAAAAATGCAAGAAGAGGCTTCATAAAGTGATACTTCCATTGGTTCATTGATCTTATTTTGGGAATGAGAGTGTTAGGGTGTGATTTGTAGGCCTTTGTCCAGGGTGGGTAGCTTAGGAGAACTACATTGTGTTTGATCCTTAGGGTTAGTTATATCATCCCTTAGTATGTAGGCAGCCCTAAAGTTACTTGGGTGCAACACTTTATTTAAAAAAAAATCTTGAATATAGGAGGGCCCCTTTAGTATTTTTGTTCAAGTTTTTGCCTAGGGCCCCCGAATGCTCAGGACCGGTCCTGGGCGGGTGGATCCTGAATCTCCTTTGTGTGAGCTCCCATCTCGATCAGTGACGCGATCTCCTTCAACAACCGCTGAAGTCGCAGTTGCAGAGTCGTTGAACGTCATAACAGTCATTGAATGTTGTCGATCGACACACTGCTCTGATACTAGTGATCGAACACAGAGAAGAAGAAAGAGGATTGCTTTGAGGGGGCTCCGGTAATGGGTAAGGAGTTTGATTTTTTTTTTCTTCGTTGTATTTCCTTAAGGAGATTGATCCTCCTTTAATAAGGGCTAAACCCACTATCTTCACCCTCCTCAGATCTGCCCCATGAGAGATTTCCTCTCAACAAACCCACGTTTCCACGTTTTTCTCAACAGAGAAACAAACATTGATTTGGTCATTGAAGACCGATTCAAGGTAACGACAATCTCTGAAAAATCATTAAAAACACAAAAAACATGCTAAATTTTGAAAATATTAAAAAACACTCTAAAATCTAAAAATTTTGATTCACCCCTTGCATAATCTGAAATCACAAAACCCTCCAAAAAAGTTTGAAAATTAGGAAAATACATGTAAAAATATTAAAAATTACAATTGAAAAAAATGAGAATTTCAAACAACTACATATAAATAAAAAATTACAAACAACCTCCTAGAAAAATAAAGTAAATACCAAACAATCACCTTAAATTCTGCAATTACAAAAATAACTTTGGAGTTGAAAATTTGTATAATTGCAATTCTAAGAATTCTCAAACAATGGATTGGAATTAATTACAAAACATCAGATTCTAACAATTCCTTGAATCCAAACATAAACTTAGGGTAATTTCAAAAACAAAAAGCTAATTGACATTTAAAGATTTTTGCACAAGACCGCTCCAAACTTCATTCTCTTTGAAAGAAGGATGACAAATGCTACAAGATTCCAACGGGATGATTTTTTGGGTGAATCATATGTCTACATTATCTCTTTGAGATTACAAATTCTTATGAAATTACTCTCATTGCATAAAACTATGTATGCACTTGCTTTTTTTGGGGGGGCACTGCTTTGTATTTGACAGACAGGATTTTGCTTCGAGGAAACAATATCTCTCAAAGTTTGAAAAATTCCCTAGAGAGGTCAAGGCTTTGATATCTTATGTTTTTTTAGGGTACATGTTCACTTTTGTAGAATATTGTTGTTGTCGTTTGGCGTAAAGAGTGTGATATAGCAGTTTTGTGGGAAGTTAGGTTTTTGGTTAGAAGTATTTTACTCATATTAAAAATCATATTAGTTTTGTCATCAATAATTAGTAACATATTGATATATAATTTTTATTATTCTTAAACTGATGTTTTAGATCATGTAACTAATCTTCTTCGATGGTCTCATGTGAATTTTATCAAGTATGAATTTAATATGGATTTTCGATCAAAGTATAAATTTAATATGTAACTAATCTTCTTTTGTTTGTCTCATGTGAATTTTGTCAAGTATGAACTTAATTTGGATTTCCGATCAAAGTATGAATTTAATATGTAACTAAACTTCTTTTGTTGCACTCATGTGAATTTTGTCAAGTATGAATTTAATATGCATTTGCTATATAGCATAAAATTTATCTGATATGTTTATTAGATTGAAGTTCTAAATTATAAGTAAGAATTTTTTATATGTCTTTTAGATTAAAGTTCTAAAATTTGTAACGTGTAACTAAATTCAATGCATTATCAAGTTTGATATCAGTCTACAAAATGTTATATTCATCTTATCATCATCAAGTAGAGGTTTAAAATATGATCTTATTTCATGCAATAAATTATTTTCTAACCATGAACTAATTCATAAACGAGTTATAATAAAGACATCAATATGTTTCTCAAGAAAAAAATGAAATAATTAAATTATTTGATCTCGTGCAATGCATGTGCATCCCACCTAGTATGTATAAATAGTCTGCATAATGAATATGGGGCCTAGAAATGAGCTAAGGAATTCAAACACATAAGTGAAAGCCATATCTAAAGAGTAACAAGGATTAGCATATCACTACATCAACATGGTTTCTGTCGGTACATCTTGACTTATATCAAAACCATACACTTTAGATCATCAACATGCAAAGATAACTAACAACACGAATATGTGTTAAATCACAAAACCAACTAAGAATACGAGAGTCATCGTAAAAACACGCATAGATGCCGATTTCAGAAGGAAGAAAAAGGTCATGAGCACATCCATATATTCACCCATGCATGAACAACCACTCATGCACATGCACACACAAATAATATAAGTAGTTTCAACAATATTGGTTTCCAAAAAAAATTACCATCTCATTTTATTATAAGCATGTTATGCGTCCCTTCATTTACAATTCCTAATATTTAAGCAAAATGAATTTCTCCAATGATATCTGCAGCTGATATTACTCTTCCAAATGTTTAAAAGATAAAAAATTGGACACAAAGAATAGCATAACATAATCCAGCAAGCTCAAGAAGAAAATTATAAGAGTCATTCAATGAAGCAATAGAAAATTTTACAATCCCATATAAAATCCAAAGCACTCGTTAAGGATTCAACAAACCAAAGAACTCATTAAGGATTCAACAAACCAAAGTCTTCACAAGCTCCAAACACACACTTTCCATAATACTAAGTTAGCGTAGTACTACTTTTTATTTCATAGCAAGGTAACAAGACAAGCTCATTTTTCCCTCGCAGTTTAACTCCGAGAACCCTTTCCAGTTTGACGATGATCTGCTGATTTGGGATGGCTTTTCCTGACTCATACTCTTGGATTATCTGGGGTTTTTCATTGATCAACTGATACAAAAATAATGTCTGTTAGCATAAATTTAGTAGCCAAAAATCAGACAATATGGGAAGAGAGAAAAGTACATGTGCGAGCTGGGCCTGGGCATACTTTTTGTTCATTAGTGCTTGCATAACGTTTTTCTTCAACTCACTTAGCACTCGTTCATCTTGTTGAACATTAAATTCAAACGTCAGGAAAAAAATATAGAGATATTTATTAGCTATCTAAAATTAGTAGTGACAATAGGATAACAGAGAAAGATGCAAGTAAAGGATTTTCAAACATCTATATTCCTATTATTGAAAAAAAAAATAACCAACAAAACTAATACATGCACAACCTGTTCTCTATTACTAAATCTCAGCATACACAAGACGCACACAAAAGATGCACAAATACAACTTAAAAGACAACCAGAAACAAACAATTATAAAAAGGGGAAATAAAAAAAATGCAAGACAAGAATGAACCCCTTTCTCTTCCTGGCATTTTCATCTTTTCTTTTTTCTGAAAACTTCTATCTAACACACTTCATGCGTGTGTACATCCAACTATTTCTTGGATTCTTAGGTTTCAAACTTCATTGTGCATGCATATGCAAGAACACACCGTGATAGCAGTAATGCAATACCATGTTGAGTAGCTTTAGGCAAAACGGAAAGGAAATACATAGCAAAGGACTGCTTTTCATTCAACAATCAACCTTTTAGATGATCAATATCTGTCAATGAGATCCTTTCCAATCAATATCCCAATAACTACAAAATTTTGAAGCCAAATGATGACATAGAGAAATGTTACATGCATATCTTAAGGTTTGTCTCCTGACACCCAATACTTTCAAGTTAAATATTAACAGGTCAGCATGCAAAGTCCTGCATCTGCTTAAATCTCCCATGTTATATGGTATCCCATATTATTCACAACATATGCCTAAAATACAAAGTGATAAAACATGAACTGATTTAGAGACCACCCTGCTTCAAGTGGGTGTAAAATTATTTCAATACCAGAATCAACAGTTAAGCACTCAGTTTTTGTCTCAGTTTTGATCTCTTAAATCATGGTTTCAGCTAGTTTCAGAAAGTGTTGTTCTTAGGTTCAGGTATAATTAACATGATATATGTGTTAGACCCTAGAGGGGGGTGATTAGAGTATTATGCTAATCTAATCTGATTTTATACCAATTAAAATTAATTAACATGTTATCCTAGCAAGTTTGAAATACAACAATATATATGAGCTAGGATAAGCAAAATGAACAAAGAGATATATCCTAGCAATGAGATATACTATGAGATATATGCAAGGATATATAATTAACACAAGGGAAAATAATCTAAACTAGATAGTGGACAATATAACCAACAAGCAATATACAAAGGCGATATAGGATATGGACATAAAATTAAGTGCGCCAATGCAATCACAAATAAATGATATGATTACGGAGTTCGGTCTAACCACTTGACCTATGTCTCCGCTCCTCACCTCGAGGAGAACTCCACTATCACAATTGGGTTTTCTATGTTTACCTGAATAACGTTTACAACACACAATACGGTTTTCTAGTTTACCGAAAACTCTACAACTAACACACTCTTGTAAACCCATTCTACACTCTCTCAAGTGTTGAACTAGACGTGTCTTCCTTAAGTACTCGGATACAACCTCTCCCTAGGTTCATCAACCGACGCCACTCCTCTTGGGTGTAAAATTTGTTCAATACTAGTGTATTACAAAGTGATCTCACAATTAAGCACAATACAAAGAATGATTATTCTCTAATATGGATGAGAACACAATAAAAGCTCACACTCAATTGTTACAACTCTCACCAACCCAAATATACTATGTATGAAAATACAATAAGCTCATGTGGGTGTGTGTAAACAATGAGTGAAATAAAATCTAACTCAAATAGCAAACTAGCAATA